TATGATGTGAAGCCTGTTTACTTCAAATCCCTATCCTTCACTATGAACACCTCACTCTTGCTCTTATTCTTTCTTCCTTTATTCTCTCACCTTTTTGTCAGTATTCTCACCTTCTGAATGACGAAGGAACGTGAAAGAAAAGAAATGTTGCGCGTTGTAGATCACAATAATATCGTAGAGAATTAGTTTCTCTGCATGTACATTATTACAAGATATATGGTATATAGATAAGTTTGTGTCCCACTGCAGGGGGTGGTAACTGCAAGGAGCTGCTTTCTACCATCATGTTGCGACCTACTGCAGGTAAACACGAACTTCATCCTACGAGGACATATCGTAGTTTAAAGTTATGCTTTCTTGCGTATATTCCTTACATATATATCTTTCTTTATATATACATATAATATTATTATTATTATTCTCATTATATTAATATATATGTATATATATATGTATATTTAAGAAAAACGCATACTTCAGTCTAAATGTACATGTGTCTCACTAATTTTATCCGCTTTAAATATTCTATTATCTCAAATAATATATAAACAATATATATAATATTATTAATATTTATATAAAAATTGTATAGGTACAAGAAAAATATAATGAATATTTTTATTTAGAAAATAATAAAAAAAAATCTAAAATTTTCATTTTTGTTTATTCTATTATTTTTAAGAAATGTTTAATGCATATAATTATTTTGAATATAAATGAAAATATTATTCATTTTTAAACTGTTCAGAATTTTATCAACAATTATAAAGTTATCAATATAATATCCTATACAAAAAACAATATATGTGAAATATAAAATATGAAGAATAATTATAGAGAACAGATATAATACTCTAATATTCAAAATTTATTATTTCATAAATTTATTTGTAAAAAATTAGACATTTTTATTTGAGAAAATAAAATTGATTTGTAAATTTTTTATGTATCTTATCTTTAAAAGAATTATTATTATACATTTTTTATGCAACTATATAATCTCACACGTAAATAATGTTTATTTGAAGTAATAGAGATATTTAAGATAGATCGAATTAGTGAAACATCTTGTGTACAAATATCAATATAGATGTATCAGTTAATCAACACGCAAGTAAATGTCCACACATGTATATCCTAGATTCGCTACGTTTTACTTTTTCTTGGATAGATGCTAATTTTTATAATAGGAATGATGCGCTGTTCTCTCTCTTTCCTCTATGTCTCGCCAGAGCCGTATTTGTATGGCTACAATGCTCAGCACTCGCATATTCATCTTGGTTCACTGTATTATTGTGCATTTGTCAAGTATTCAATTATCAAGCACGAAAATTATAAGCACAGAGGTCAAAATATTTTATCTCTGTTACAGATCAAATCCAGGTACACCGACGCAGGTTCGTCGGCCAGATTTTATAGGAGTAAACGACGCACCAACTTATTATGATGTACAGCAAGGAAATAATACTGGTATTGGTGCTGCTAGTGGTGCTGTCGTAACTGGTTACAGTCCGCAGCGGCGTTTCTTATCAGAAAGTGAGCTTGTTCGTCAAGGTACGGATCATTCGTACTCAAGAACTAATAATACTGTCGACAATATTCGAGAATTAGCGGGTTCACCTCAACGTGGTGTCTATATGTGGAAAGATAATTCTCCAGGCAGCTATCCTGTTCCAAGTGGAACGACAAATGCAACGACACATCAGTCGCCCTCGCAAAGACCTCCGCCATCATACGATTATTACCGTTCTAATCCAACAAGTCCTACGCAACAATTATACGCTAATGCTCCTAGAGCGGCGTATCATCCTGCAATGAGGGGTGGAGTACCAGTCTTCCCACCACATCAATCGCCACAAGTGAAGCGAAAAGCCACAATGGCAACGCCAACCACTCCAACCTCGAGCGATACTCGACGTAGACCAATGTCTTTTGTTAGAGCTTTGGAAATGACGGATTCTATGGAGATGGTATCAGCGCCTAATGATAACAGATCACAACGGCCCACAACTCCAACACCTGATCGCGCTAGTGTTTACGATATGAACTATGAGATATCTGTATAGCCCACCTTTACGGTCTCCGCACCATCCTGTAGTTGGACGGAGATTGTACAAGAATTACCGTCATTGCGCGTCTCCTGTTCCAAAGAGGAAAGAATATACGCCGCTTACGAGATATCCGTCTGAATCTTCGTATCGAAGCAGCTAAACAGTCTACGTCAAATGATATTAGGTCGGGATATTATAAAACTTTTCCGGCCCAAATGTTAATTCATATTTATCATACTCTACATTCACCGAAATAATGTGGAACAAGGCCAATTATTTTCCTAAGGGAACAAAGACGTTAAACGCAGTCATCATTCATCCATGTTATTAGTGATACCCTCAGTGTACAATGCGTATCATGAACGATGTTAAAATATATTCAGTGAAATGATAATCGATAGACAAAAATTTCCTGGCAAAAAAATGAGCATTGGTATTTATGATTTTCATTGTAATTTACAATGAAAAACACATTAAGTTCCATATTTCGTGTTGAACTCAAAGGAACATCAAATCGATAAAAATGTTAAGTTCAACGTCGAGTCTATCGTAACATAAGACTGTTGTGTCACGTTATTAGCAAAATTTGTTGGTTTAATTATTGTTTAAAAAGTATTCGATTTAATATGTATATGAGATAAAAATGTGTTTATTTATCCATAAGAAGCGCTTGGATCGATGATAATTGAAAAAAATCAAGTCACAAAACCGTCAACGAAGTAACAATTTCGAACATTTAGTAATAATTGCTAAGTAACAATAATTGCTAATGATCAAGTTTTGTTTCGTTTAACAACATATACAATTATATTTTTTAGTATAAAGTATAAAATCAGTTTAGATTTTTATACCGTGACGATATGACTCAATTCTAAAAATTAAATATCAATTAATTTTTCGTTCCTTTTGTTTTTCTTCTATACTTATCAAAATATATGATTAGACAAATAACAAAAAATATAGGAATTATTTTTGCGTACATTTCTAAACTCCATTTTTACCTACAATCGTGTTCGTTTTTTGTTTCGTACAATAAATCATACAAATGAAAGTAGAGCGACGAACGGGATAAAAATCGAATCTGTTAGTATAATGTCCTATCTTTATTGATGCAAGAAGAGTTCGTGTCCAGTTAACAAAACGTTACTTAATCGATTTAAGTCATTATCGGGATAGAATAACAAATTCTGTGTAAAATAATCGTGTAAAATGAAATGTGTAGCAAATTTTTAATATACATATTTAACAATATTTATACGTAAATAATAAAACAAATATAAGACTTTAATAATTAATAATTTCATTTGTTTGTTATAAATGATGATTTTATCGATGTGACCACTAATATGATCAATTAATTTTTATGAAATAAAAAAAAAGAAAAATAATTAAAAAGAATATATGAAAGAAAATTGTGTGAATGCTAAAAGGAAAAGCATGGATGGACGAATGGATGTATACCAGAAGAATATTTAAAATATTTAGACGAGAAAGCAAATGGCATGTTTCAAATGTTTACAATGATGGATGATTTAAGTACTCGATAATAGAATAAAAAAAAATACTAAACATGAATACTGGATTTTGTTAACAAGAATAAGGAGAATACAATTTTGTAATATATATATTGCATAAATTTATTATATATCTACTGCTATTGTTAAGTTTGTAATATATCCCGCTTTTAAAAAAATTGCATGTCGATTTCTGTATTATGTATTTGTATGCGAGACCAACATTACCAATTATGCAGGCTTAATGAATAATTGCGAGCTGTATATTCGTAAGGTAATCGTGAAATATTGCGTGCCCAGTTACCTTGCGATAAATTGATAATCGATTATTGTCAAATAGCACATATCGTTCAGCTAAAAGGCTTATCAAACATCGAATATTTCCAAACTAAAAGGACATTTTTTCAATATCTGATATTCTTGATAACCAGAAACATGGATATACAACAGATTATTAGAAATATTTCTTCCAATGTTGGCGCTACTGATAAAACGCGATTTACTTATTTCTTATTTTTTTTTCGAATTATATATATTTTTATTTTTCTTTACAATGAGCTGTGCCAAAACAAATAAACATACGTACGATTTTCCATATTTCACTCTGATTACGTAGTATTTATATAAAAAGCACTTTAAAAAAAAGTAAATAAAAATAAACGAAGAATCGGTACAACGTTAAAACGGATTGCTTTAGGGGATTATGTGTAAGGTGTGACGAATGTTTAGTATTTATAATTTGGTGTACTTGTACATAAATATTAAACTCGTTATTATCACTTAAATGTACATACATATACATTTCGGTACTTACGTATCGCTGCAGCAATCTACAAAAATAAAACTCATGAAATATAAGCTGATTGTACTCTGATTATACTAAAAAATCTTTCTTTTAATTTTTTATTAGATTGATATATCTTTAATATAAAAGATTAAATATGGAATTCTATTAAGATACAAATTTGAAAAGCGCGGTACATTATAAAGTGTTCATAAAGAAGATTATAAATAGCCTTTTAAATTTATGAATGGTGATTGAAATCTACACGTGGATGCAAGTTACAAAATGTTAAAAATAGGTAACTTTAATCATTTTTTTAGTTCCAAAAAATCATGTTTTTGAAGTAAGTAAAGTTTATTGATTATAAAATGTATAGTTTGCATGCATATTTTTAGTTTAAGTATACGAATATATATGAGTATACAAGTAAAATATAAACTAAAAATTATTTTTCAAACAATAAGAAAAGCTTATAATTATTTTATGATTTTAAAATAATTGAATAATTTTTATATTTGTCGTTATGTTTATTTTGATACAATATAATTATAATGTAAAAAATAATATTAAAACAAAAAATAGTCGAGTAGTTTATCTTGCGATTACTTTAATATCTTTTAAAATGGACGTTTTATGGTATGGTCAGATTTTCATAGGTTTGTGTAGGATTTTCAGGTGATATGGTCGCAACCCGGCGGGAATAACGACACCAGCGCCGCGTTATTTTATTGGTAATTTTGTGTATAGTTCATAAACTTTGTATATTATTCCATTATGATTCGTTGATAAAATAAAGTTCTTAATTGTTGGTGTCATATATTGTTTGCACGCAATATCGTTTAATACGTAATTAACAGTGAGAACGCGTTCTGTGAAAAGGCGACGATCTTTTAGCGGCACCGTCCGCCATTATTGGCGTTTGCACGGCGTTCAACAAAGTTTTCTGTCGTTTATAGGAACGAAACCACGCCTATAACCTGAAGATTTATACCATACTATGATGTAAGTAATGTGTATTATTTTTTAATTGTTTTGGTCTTGTTTTTCTCATTGAATTGTAACCTCGTTATTACCGGGTGTTTTCATGTGAACATAGGGCACGCAGTCGTAAAGATAGTACGGGTAAAAGCGACACCGAAGTCACTGATAAAGAAAATAAGAGGGAAAGAGGTAGAGAAAGAGATAGAAAAAAGCGGGCTGGCTCTACATCTAGTAGTGGCAGTAGGTAAGAAAATTAATATCTTTTTCGTAATACCAAAAATTAAAGGAAAAATTATATCTACATTTTGCTTCTATTATTCATATATTACAGTTCTTCAGATAGTAGCTCAGGATCATCATCTACAAGTAGTGGAAGTAGTTCCAGATCAAGCTCTACATCTAGTACTACTTCTACTAGTTCAGCAAGTTCTTCTGGAAGCTCTAGAGACAGAGGAAGAAAACGAAGTAGAAGCAAAAGTGTTGATGCTTCACGTAGACATGATAATAAAGAAAAAGAAAGAGAAAAAGAAAGAGAAAGAGAAAGAGATAGAGACAGGGACAGAGATAGAGATAGAGAAAAAGATAAAAAGAAGAGTAGTAATTCTGTGATTGATAAACCAAAACCTAAAGGACGCTCTAGGTAAAAAATATTAATTAAATGACATGAACAATAGTTCCATTTGTAATTTTTTTTTATTTCATTTGATTTTTCATATAGATCACCTTCACCACGTAGAAAACGTAGGGAAAGATCACCAATTCCTAGACCAACAAAAATACATATTGGACATCTAACCCGTAATGTTACTAAGGAACACATTATGGAAATTTTTTCTACATATGGTCAGATAAAAATGGTCGATTTTGCAATGGATAAGCTTCATCCAAATCAAGGGCGAGGGTTTGCCTATGTGGAATTTGAAACAGCAGACGAAGCTGAAAATGCAATGAAACATATGGATGGTGGTAAATATAAAATTTCGAAACTCTTTTCACTTATTGTCTTAACAGATATCGACGTCATTTAACAATTATTTTACGATATCTACAGGACAGATAGATGGCCAAGAAATTACTGCTGCCCCAGTATTATTACCAAAACCACGACCATTACCGATGCGGAGAATGTCACCTTTAATGGGAAGAAGAGCGCCCCCACGATGGGGTGGTGGTGGTAGAAATACTCCTCCTCGTTATCGTAGACGTTCACCACCAATTAATCGTCGTAGAAGCCCACGGCCACCAAGACGTAGACCAAGAACTCGATCGCGAAGTCCCCCAAATAATCCACGACATCGGCATCGTCGCTACACGAGATCAAGTTCAAGCAGTTCTCGATAGCAACTTTTTTTGTACATATAAAATAAGAACTGAATTTGACCAAACTCAGTTCATCCTGGTTGGTCGTCTTAATATATTAAGCAATTTTTACCGATTCATTCGATCATATTGACAGGGAAGTGTATGCACTCAAAAATTTAATACACTTGTTCACAACGGTGTTTGTGACAATTCACATTTTTGTCGATGATTGAAACACCGTTCGTGATCTGCAAGTTCTGCTTTTGAAATATATCAATTTCACACGTGATAAATATATTGCTATTAATTGGTACCTGAAGGCTGATGACCCCGGATGAAAAATATGTATTCTTAAACATTGTCACATGATCGTATTAAATATAAGGCATGAAGACTTCAGAAGAAATATTATTTACCAATAAGTACGTAATGTAAGCGTAATTATTTAGAGAAATACAAATAATTAAAACTTTGTCATGAAATATAGTGGCAGTGTCTATTTATAAATTATTGACATTTTTTTCTGAGGTCTTTATGAATTGTAAAATGTTTCAGGCTTGGTAGAAGTACTAGAAACGACAGATTTGATAGAAACTATGATTATTAGACCCTTTTACAAAGAATCAATTTTAGAAAAAACCTATTCACACAAAATCCTCTTTTATACTTCGCGATATCTACAAGAACAGAATCATTGCATCACATTGCAATCTTGTATCGATGAAAAATATCTACAATTTTTAAATTGCATATGGTCGTTAATTATATAATAATATACATTTTTTAAGATGACTTTACAGTATAAACGAAACAATTTAAAGAGCCTGATTACTTGACAGAAGTAAGTATATTTTTGAAGGCACCAGGATTTTCGAATTTAGCCTGGTCCATGGCACGAATATATTTTTTTTCTTTTTTTTTCAAGAGAGATCTCAAATTCTCTCTAACATAACGACGTATATGGCTGATAAATTGAGAGGACGATTAAACAAGGATACAAAACATTTTTTTTTTTCAATTTTGATAGGTACAAAATCAGAAATTGCAATATCTTTACATAATATTAATTTTTGATTTAAGCACTTTGGCACGGACAAACTGCTTTTATATTTATTCCTTTATAATTTCTCAACAAATAAAAAATTTTTTTGTTTTATTTTATTGAAAAATGTATTGCAGTAAACAGATCCCTGCTTTATAATTCATAAAAAAAATTGATTTATAATTTATATCTATTATTTTTTTTTTACAATATGATGAAAAACAATTGCAATTCTTTTAAATAATCTTACATTTTATATCACAGGAAAGCACCAGAGTGCAATTCTAATTTGCGTGACAAAAAAAAAAAAAAAAAGGAAAAGCAAGCTTGTGCCAAAAGCCAAAGATACCTGTTCTTTTGCCCTCTCGGTATGTCATTTTACTATTATTCTTACAAATTAATCTCTATAAAGAAAAGGAAACACGTTAGTTTTTTTCATATTATATCGATTAAATTAGGGCAACTTATTTTACGGTCATATTCGTACGTCAGTAATAGAGATTCGTTTATACGTCGCAATAAATAAATAATTAAATAATTTTTGAGTAGTGATAGAGATCCGTTTAAGTTTGCTCTTAACTTGGATTTCTTTTTTTATGTAGCGTCGTCTCGCATTCTACAATATCTATAATATTACACACGATACTTTTTTTTTTAAACTGTACGCATAATTATCGTAATGATTAGTTTATATCGCTATAAACAGTTAGATCCCCGAAATTTTTAGAGAATCACATAACGTCATTATTATTTGTTTTCTTTTTTTTTCTTTTTTCGACCGTCATGTTATTTAAACAAATGCCTTGATTTATTTATATCGATGATTCGTCCTTTAACTTCCATCATGTAATCAGACGGAATCTTATGATCACGAAACAAGGCATTTTTTAACGATCTTATTACTAGAGCGTGTTATTTTTAAGTGTCCTATACGTTTTTCATTTTTTCGCACTTTTTCGATAACTATAATATTAATAATCTATGTACAATTTTTTTTAAATAACGCCTCTTCTCCATTAGCAAAATATTAGCACCGGGGCCTGGATACTTTACGCAAATGCTCAGAATGCTGACCCTTTAGTGCGTTCACTTGCAGAAGCCGAGGACGTAGGGAGGATATATCATCGAGATTGGGAGGCATCCTCCTTTTTATGTATATCTGCATGCATTAAAGCAGGCTCTAATTGTCGTGTTGGTACCCCTGGTCCAGGTCCTGCTCTATGATGCATATGCAAATTACTCAATGGACCAGGACTTGGATCCTTACTTCTTAAAGAATTTACAGGTGGTGGTGGATATCCAGCATAAAGTTTAGCTCTCTCTTCTTCCTCTGCTCGAAATGCAGCAGCAGCCATTAATGGATTATAACGTAATTGTTGTAAAGGATCATAACGATAATCCCTAAAAGGATCCCCAGGCCAAGGACCTCCTGGTTGACCAGTCGGTGCGGATGGAGGTGGAAAATGTTGCATTGGATGTGCACTCAAGGCAGGGAGCATACTTCGTGGCATGGAATGCGGCGCAGGCATACTATGCGGATGCCTTGCAAGGTATGAATGAGGATGAGGATGATGATATCTTGTGTCAGGCAGTGGACTTGGACCAGGTCCTGTTGCTGCAGATGCTGCTCCAGGGCCAGGACCTGGTGGCCTTGGAAGCATTACTACTTCATCATCTTTACTTCGTGGTTCCTCTTTAACACGTACTTCGCCAGCATCTATAGGTGCTGATCCATTTCTTAGAGGTGACCGTTCCCGACCAACGACTACATGTTGTCGATTTTGATGAAGTAACCTTTCACGTTCCATTTCACGTCTTTCCATTTCTCTACGTTCCTTATCTCTTCTTTCTCTTTCTCGTTCAGCAGCTTCCTGCTGTTTTCTCTTTTCTTCTTTTTCACGTTCTCGTCTCTCTCTTTCGCGTTGTTCTTCCCTTTCTCTTTCTTTTTCACGTCTTATGCGTTCTCGTTCTCGTTCGCGTTCACGTTCGCGTTCACGTTCACGTTCCCGCTCACGTTCGCGTTCTCGTTCGCGTTCTCGTTCTTCAAGTTCAGCTCGTCTATCAATTGCAGGTGGTTCTGGTTTTAGACTCCATGACACTGCTGTGGTTGGTGGAAATCCTGCAGAGGCTCTTTGTAACCTAAACAAAAAGGAAATAAAAGCAAATAATTTATACATTTTTTGTACAAAAAAATATTTAGAAACATACCCTCTCCAAGGATCATGAACAGAACCCAATCCACCCAATGGAGGCATTTCCCTCGATGGAGGAAAACTAGAAAGACCAGGAAAATTAGGATTAGGCGTACCAAATGTTGATGGATATCTTCCAAATGGTGACATTCCTGTTCCTGAAATCATTTTTAACATATATTAATATAATCATTGTACTTGTAATAATTAATAATTTCACATATATGATTTCATGATAAATTACCTAAATGTGACGCTGGTGTAGATAGAAAACCAACTGGATGTGGTGGAGGTGGTGCAGGATGTGCCGGTGGTATATTAGTAGGAAATGGTGGTGCCATTGGAGATGCTCCTATTCCGAGACCAGTTCCTGGACCTGCTGCATAAAGATGACCTGGTGGTCGTAGAAGTTCTGTTTTAGTATTAACGACACTTCCTGCTTTCGCTTCCGCTTGTTGCTTCTGTTGATGATGATAAATTTCCCAAGCAATGCGGACATGCATTGCATTCCATTTTCCACTTTTCTGTATTAAATACACAAATTATGTTTAATATAATATGGATAATTTAATTAAAAATATTTTAATTTATATTTATTATAAAAATTACCTTTGGTGCAAATGACGTTAAATGATTGGGAGGTACAAAAGGAGTTGAAGGTGGACCAATTCCAGGATGTAAGAGACCGGTATTAAAGCCAGAATAACTAGAAAGATTTAGATTTCCACGAAAAAATGGGGATTCAACACCTCCTAATTTCGGGATGTCCTTGAACTAAGAATATAATTATTCATAAGTGCGATAATAATAAATGTTATATTCGAAAAAAAAATTATAAATTACGTACTATAGGAGGTGGAAATAAAGTAGTTGCGGCCGTTGGTGGAAGCAAAGGTGTAGTATGTTGATGTACATGAGTGTGCTGATGTTGATGATGGTGCATTTCCGTCCTAAGATACGGGGGCGGACCCAAATTGCCAACTCCGACTCCAACGTTTCTGTCTTGGGATGCCAAGAATCTATTGTCAAGCTCTCGCCTTAACAGGTCTGCCTGACCTGCGACATGAGTCACCCCTTGTTTCGGTTAGTGTCTCATTCGTTTCGAACTTTTTATTCTACCTTTTTTTCCCCTCTCTCTTTTTGTTACTCGAATCCCAAACAAAATTGAAAAATAGTTTATAAACTTACTTGTTTGAAAAAGTGACTCGGCAGAGAATGGATTAGGATTAGTCGTTGGCGGTGGTAATGAAGGCAGTGACGTATGTGGACTGGAACTAGACACAGGAGGTGGTAAGGGTGCTGCGAACATTGGCGGCGGAAACGTGTGCATGCCAAGTGGTACTGGTGGAGGAGTTGGCCTTGGAACTGATGTTGCTGTTGCTGGAGACAATTGTGAAGTTGTGCTGCTACTGTAAATTACATATGAAAATATATAAATAAAATATAAAGAAATTGTTTAATAAATTATGATTTTATTCATACCCGATCCATCCTTGTGGTTTGGTATATGCAGGTAGACTAGAATTGGCTGGAGAAGATGTGTTTGGCACACTTACAGGCGTTATGCTACCTCGACTTAGGCTACTGACATTACTGCTATAATAAGTAACATTATTATAAAACTTTTATTACAATAAATAATAAAAATATTTGTGATTACAAGATTATACCTATAACTATCTCTTTCTCGATTCGGACTATGTCCACGAGGCGAATTATTGTTTCTTCCAGTCAAACTACAAGCTACCATGTCTCTGTGAGCAATGGTATTTGCTGTAGTAACTGTATTAGTTATTGTAGATACACATGTCGTGGTGGCAGCGCTCAAAGGAGTATTATGATTTGTGGTATTATTCCCTATAGGTTGTTGTTTACTTATATTAGTACATGGGGAAGCTCTACTTCCTCTCTAAAAATGAAGATTATTAAAGTTAGATTATGTAATTTAACTATTATCAAAATGTTTTTATACATAATAATATTTATGTATAAAATGCAAAAAAATTTTTCAACTCCATATTATATAGTAGCATATACAACTTACCACTTCTGCCCGTGAAGAAGCAGAATGGGAGGGAGATGGAACTGCAGGTGGAAGGTATGGACTGTGATTTAAAGCAGTATATGGTGTATAAAGAGGTGGATAAGATGGTTGGGTTTGAGGATAAGCAGCCATGGGTATCGATGGTGGATAGCTAGTAGTTGTAGCTCCGTTTGATGGTGCCGCTGGGGTAACGCCTAAACTGGCTACTGCAGGACTAGTTGTATGACTTGATGAAACAAGGGGTACATTGGGTGGATGTAATGCAGGTATTGTAGTATGAGGTTGGGACAAAGAAGGAGGTGGCAGAGCAGGGGAAGCTGGCCGCTGTTGCGGAGCTATTGCACGTGGATTTGCTGCCAATGGACTAGTCATCTGAAAATATATTTAATCGAATGTTTATTATTCGTAGTAAAATTCATAGAAATACTAAATAACAAACATTTACTTACAGGTGGTTGGGATATGTGAGGGGGTAGAGTGGGACTGGGAGGACTTGGCGCTGTTGGAACTGGTGCAGACGCAGGCACAGGAGGTGGTATAGGTGCCGGAGCATCCGTTGCTGGATTAGAAATTTGTCCACCCGTGTCTGGAGGTGAACCTCCTGCTCCGTTCGCTGGAGGCAAAACGTGTGGTGAAGATGATGGCAATTCGTCTACAATATACGATTTCAAAAATGAGTATTTAATAAACAAAAAAAATATTATTGGCTCAAATATTACATACATTTACGTGCAAGGGGTGGTGGGGTAGAAGATTCAAAGAGTATCGATTCAGCATCCGAGCCCTAAAATAAAAAATGAGTTTTATTAAATGATTTTCTACTTTTTACTATATATTTTTTGTAACATTATTACTTACCTTATCGTCTTCTCCTTCACTATCACACTGTAATAAGAGAATAAAAAATAAAGTAGTTTTACGATAATCTTGAGTAAATTAGAAATGAAATTTAAATTCTACATTTTTAATACTTACGATATAACCTTTACCCGAACTGCAATGACTGCTAGCCTATAAAATCAATGAAAATTACACAAGGATGAGAATTGATTCGAGTATTAATTTTATTCAATAAAAGATAAACATCGCAGAATCTTATATAAACTCTTATATGAACTCTGATTGTATAGTTATATGTACAACTTATAAAATAATACTTACATCGCTGAGGTGGTCCCTGGAACTGTCTGCGTCCTGGCAATCCCTAGGTATACCAGGGCCATGCAATTGTTCAGATGCTCTACCACTATCGTCACTTGTACCTGCATCTAGGCCCTGTGATAAAAACAAAAATCTAAATTAGATAATTTTCTTTTTTTTTTATTAAAAATATCAATTATATATGATGATTTTTAAAAAAATTACCTGGTTTATCGTAGAAGGTGTCAGTATGGAATTGTGTGTATAATGGTTGTGCTTGAAATGATTTTTGATGTGATGCTCGTTGTGTCTATTATTTTGTCCTATATCCACCTTTGGTTTCTCTTCCACTATTGATAGTAATGTATGTAATTTCTTGACATTATTTTTGCCAGCTAGCTTTATTGCACTCTGAAATTATAAAAAATTTCAAATTATGTTTTTATTTGATAAAATACATGAAAAAAAAAAATTTTATTATATTTGTTAAAAAAAATTCATTTTTTAATTTTAAGTTTTTTATTTTCGACGAAAATTTAATATTTATTTTTAGAAATAGAAAACATTAAAATATAATATGGAGTTAATGATATAAGTTTAATGATTAAAAAATATATTTTTAAGAATGCAAAAGTTCATTCTAAGAGAACAGGCCTTATTTACATGAAATTGAGGATGCTGTTGTAAGCAGGTATCGTGATAAATGTAATATAATTCTTACGATAGCTTTGTGCAATCGCTAACTGCACAGGCGGAAATTAAAATAATCAAATTTCATTCCTGGTGATCATTCATTGTACTTAATAAACTTGGAATATTAGAGTATTCCGTTGAAATATCCGTTTATATTCAACACGTATAAAGTTTGATCAACTAGCAAATAATTATATTCAACACGTATGGTAAACACGTCACGATTTTTGCCACAGGTTTACACTCGCATATAAATAAGTTAGATAATTTATTTTTTTTATCACTAGAAATATCAGCGAATCATCAAGCTCGTAAGAATCATAAGACTGAAACTTCTACGCGCACAGTAGAAAAAGCCGTATGAGAACGCCTTTCCGTCGGTGCCTTTAAACCGCGATGTCAGTGCACATTTCTGAACGGGTGGCGCTCTGCCCCCTCCTCCTGGTTTTTTTCTCTCAGTTTCCCCTATGTGCACCTAAATACCGTTATCGTAATAAACGCAGATTCCGTTATTCTCGAAATAAAGAATATCTATCAGGTATACGTTCGTGTTAGATCAACTTTATCCGAATTTAAGCTCTTTAAGACAGACGGGCGTTTGCAAAGATGACAGTAGGATTCACAAGCAGCACCATGTCTCGTGTGCGCGATGCAGCACACGAATAGTGGGGAGAATGAAAGAGGCAGTGAGCGAGGTACTGGTGAAGGGAGCAAAAGAGAGGGGGAGAAATCGAGTAGAAAGTGGGGGATGAAAAGAGAAGAGAGGGGAACGACGAGGAAGGTAGAGAGGAAGAGTGAGGAAGAAAGAGAAGACATTGACCGAACGAGCAGCCGCGCGACAAGGCCTCCTTTGCCGTGCTAGGCCAGCTGGAAGGAACGAAGCTTGAACCCTGACTTCTCTTTCTCAACTTAAAGTATTACTTTCCTTTTTCGATAACCGTGTATTCGCTTATTCTATTTTGCTTTCTTTCTCATTCTCTTTCTTCCTCTCTCTGGTACAGTTGGCTACCAAAGAAACGATGGGAAAAAGCCACTAGAACTCGCTGTGTAAAAAACTACCACCTAGCAAAAGCCATACTCTACCTGCGCACGTGTGCCAACTGCGAAGTGAAACCCCCTAGGACATGTACCGCGGTTAGATTACATGCTTCTTGCAGTTAAAGTGAATTAATAAATTTTTGCCTTATGAATATATTTTAAAAATGATCGATATGTAAATGTTTTTATTTTTTAATGTAACCATTAGTCGAGAAAAAAATGTTTGCTATTATCAAATGTTAAACTTTTTATTGCTTTACGTACTTATCTAAAAATTGTGCAAATATTCAATATATTATTATTTATTTTGTAATAATTTTAATTAAATGATTTAATATGTAGCCATTATGCGGCCAGAAAAATTTTTCTGATAAAATTTTCAAAAATTTTATATAAAAAAATATTCAGAACTTTTCATTTTTTTGATATTTTGTTTTTACAATAGAGAAATGTATATTGGATTTAAATTTATATTCAACAAATTTTTAATTTTTTAAAAAAGAATTAATTTGCAATCTAAGAGACAGAATTCCCCGACACAGGACGAGTAAAAGAAGGTCGTTCCCGGACATGCGGACGTTCCACCGGTCGGCTACTCCATGCTTTGGCTAGCCGGCTACTAAACTCGTTCGCACAACGTTGCCACATCTATTCGTTCAGTGTTGACACGATCAAACTCTAATTCAGCTACTACAGTTCGCATATATTCAATCGCAATGTTAATGCGCGAGTTCATATGCACATGCGATTTGAATTAGTGGATTTTAAATGATCGTCTTCTGTATTATATCATTCTGGTTCATCAAATGACAGATAGAAAAACAATAGATAAAAACATATTCAAGATATTCAAGATAGGTAATAAAAAAAAAAAAAATCAAAGTTCAAAATATTTTAATAATTTTACACGATGTAACGTCTATTCAAAATTAATTAAATTTAAATGGAACAAATTTTATTAATAGAATGTCAGAATTATTCATTTTGATCAACACAAAGAAAATCCATACGATTTGGAAATTGATTTTTCTTCATGAAAGATTTTTCTTTATTCATATAAATTTGTATGAAATAATTTATTTATTGGAAAAAAATATTAAGCATTTCAATAAAATATTTGCGCGGGAAATACAATTTCAAATCAATCTAACACATCAAGAGTTGGCTTTTACATATGACAACAATGTTTCTCTTTTGGCGGGCATTACTAACGCTGAGATTAAGTATTCTCCGCTCTCGTTTGTAACAAGCGGATAATAACAGTCATTCGGACATCTGTTTGACGAAAATTTCGGCTGCTTGCCAGTACCAAATTGACGTGCTGAGCGTGAAACGATGCTGGCCGTTGTCCAAAAATTATCCGAAAGTAAACATGTATCATGGTAGCATTGTTTATATTTTCTGCTATCCTCAAGTCTTGTTTTCATATAAATTTTTTAATGCCACCAGCATTGAAAACAAAAATGGATGATAATTTCTTAAAACTAATATTATTATAGAAATGATTATTTCATCATTATAATATAAAGGAAAACTATAAAAATAAGATATAGACAAACTTGTCAAAAAAATGATTAATTCGTACAACATAAACTTATCATAAACGATACATTTTTTTATTACGCGTAAAAATAAGGCAAATGTTAAATGTGTAGACGAAAAAATTGCAATCAAAATTGCAACCGTAATTTATCTAATTGATCCATATTAATCAATAAAGTATTTTTTGTAAAAATAAAATAATACAGAAAAACGACAATGCAAATAGAAAAAAAAAAAAAAGAAAGAAATCGGTGGCAATAAAAATTTTTACAAAAATGTAAATACAACGGTTGAAACGATTCGATCACGCAAGATTAAGATTATTTTCAGATGTAAATATTTCTCGCCAATTTTCATAGCTCCCAGTCTTTTCCATTTGATGGACACATTCTACGCGCCGTTTTCAAGGTATAATTCAGATGATTTGGGAATAAGTGCTGCCATTATTCGTGCAACGTTTATTGTAGATAATATCATCCGTGATTCGTTTCCGCATAAAAATAATTGTAGTTTAGCTAGACTTGAAAAAAGAAGCGAGACAAAAAAGGAGAAAAAATAATCGATATTACTTTTTTAAATTAATCGTAAGTTATCGCTGTTTTAAAAAAATCGTCTTCTTCTCAACGAGGTGTTTTCCATTCTTGCTTAATTTGTTTTTTTCTCTCTCTCTCTCTCCATACTTTCCTCTCTTTTGTTTCTTTCTCAAAATTTCGTCCGATAAACTTGTTACGGCATCGAGATATAGGGCAAACGAGTTATACGTCAAGTAACTGTGTAATCGCGTCCACTCAATCATATATATTTTTCTTTCCTTTTCTCGAAGTATGAAATTGCAGATATTGATTACGTTTCACGTTGAGGTTTTTAATTCAATTCCAACGTGATCAACAAAACCGATTAATCCGAGACACAGCAAGGGATCCGAAAGTAAAGCGTTCGCCTTCCTCTGTGTTCAAATTATAAACGAGAAGAACTGGGTCAACTCGCCGTGCAGGTGCACGGCCGTGTTTCGTCCATCATCGATACACATCCCTTTTGTCGTTTCCGTATCGATTCGCGAGCATACACGATACAACTCCTCGCAACAACTTATCTTCTTATTGCTTTCTTCGTCGTTCCAGAAAATAATTATGTATCAAAGGACATAACCAACACGCGTGAATATAAAAATTAACGCAAATAATTAATACTTGAATATATCCCGATATGATATTTCGTGTTGCAGATTACAATTGGATGAACAGTAACACGGGTTAACGAGCAATTTAAGCCAATTCCGAAAATTAATTTATCTAGCGTGTATCTGAAAACGAAGCAAGCTAATCGAACGAGATAAAAATGTAAATGCAAATCTTCACGCTATGCCAACGGTAATGTTTTATTTAATTAAGAGCATTACCGTTTTGCCGTGTCCCGTGTATTGATGTTGAAATCTACCAAAAAGCGAATATAGACACGCAAAATACACGCAATACGTAGTCGAGTATTTTCCTGTTTATTATTAAAATATTCCGCCTCGTTACGTGACGGCTGATAACGGATCGTGGTATATCCTGTAATTCAGTATGCGATAGAAATTATATTCGTCGCTAATCGAACGAATTACATATTGCCTTCGAGTGTTTCATTAATTACTTCGTAAATCGAGCGACGTGAAATAGTCTGAAGCGCATCCAATGAAATTCTGTTTTATATATATATATATACACTTTTACGCCATTTTTTTTTTTTTTTGCCACCATGAATTAAAATCAATTTATATCCCGTACCGATTTTCATAATTCGATCAAAGATTCTTGTTTATCCTTCGCGATACGCACAGCCATTATCGTTCGATTGAAACAAGCGAGCCCGAGTAAATTAAACGAAGTTAATGGCATTCCTATACGAGAAAAACTGGAGAAAGAATAAAAGATAGGGAGGAGGGGGGGAAGGAGGAGGAACGTCGTCAAGTGGATGAAATTTATCGTTGCACGCGTCACGTGTGTACGTGTTGAAACGTATAATTGTTTTCGTACAGTGTCAAGGTAACGAACGAAGGTTTCGTTGTGCGCGAGAGAGTCGTGTACGCGAGGAGCAAAAAATTGTGCGAGCGTGAGGCGACAAAAAAAGGAAGAAAGAGAAGGAGATAGAAGAAGAAGAAGGAAAAAAGAAATGGGTCGCGAGTCGGTTTCGCTTGGTTGATGTCTGTCTGTCGTCGAAACTCGAACCGTCGAATCGTCGATTTTCCACCAGCAGTGAATATATATTCGAGAAGAGAAGAGAGGTAGCGGTTCGACATTAGCGGTTCAACTCGGCTGTTGACGGATCACGTGGCCAGAATTCAGGCATCTCTGTTGGCACCGGCGGCCAAGCTGATTTATCGAGTATCGTGGCGTTGTTGATCTCACTCTCGCTACGGTTAAGAGAACTCCTTGGTAATCTGTCGAATGCCAACCATATCTATCCAAGTCAAAATTATATCCCCGATGCAATGAATTCAACTATTACAAATTTCTCTTTCTCTCTCTCTTCGTTTCTCTTTCGTTTTTTCTCTCCTTTTCCGATTTATCTACGATCACGTGGCATTTCACACGGTTGCTAACATTAATCACTATAGGAATGGAATAATTGTAACTTATAGATACATTTTGCAAGATTAATTTTTATCTTATTTTCAACAATGGAGAAAACTCTTAATTGGGAAGCTTGTTATTAAAATTAGAACGGTGCGGTATCGAATAATAATAATCTGATAAACTGATGAAAAATCTTTTGGATACAAGGTAAACGATTAAGTTATATAAATAAGTAATTTTCAAATTTATTTAATTAATTTCTCATCAACGGGCAAATAGAATAATATCGTTCCATTTGAATCTGTTTTTAATTCAAAATTATCTTTCCAAGGAATAACATCAACGTGTGCAACGGTGTATGAAGCGAATGATTTATTATTATAAATCGACGCTCAACAAGATAAAAAACGTTTGTGCCACTGATGATGTGTAAAGAAAAAAAAGATAGAAAAATTATTTATGGATAAATCATTCTTCTTAACAGCTAATATAAATTGCATTAACTATTATTAATTCCAAAGGATTGTTAGAGCACAAAAATGGATTTTAACTTGAAAATAAGGTCAAGTAGCAAAGTATCATACACACGTATATCATAATATATGCACGTACGTTGTATAACACATACAGATAGAAAAGAGTCATCCTCGATCCGGACACACGATAGATATATCGTTTTCCTATCTCAAATACGTCGATTACGTATCGGGATAATCAACATATTGCTCAGTCATTATTATCATACACGTGTAAACATTACATTGTATTCATTATTCCACGCTTAATCTTCGTCCTTTTCTTTCTAGAAGAACCTGAACAGGAAAAAAAAAAACTCGCGAAAAATTAATTTGCCCGCATAAATTTTGTCCGTAAATAATGAGATCATCGCGAGATCAACGGCGACCGATGA